AAGTGCGCCATTTTCTCGTCATTCGTAATTGGCTGTTCATCAACTAAGGATTTAAATAAGGAGAACCACCTTGGCCAAGTCGAAATGTCGCCATTGAATGTTTCCAGCTCCAACCGTGGCAGACTGCTTCGAAAAATCACCGAGGGACCAGGTCGATTGTCGTCAACTTGCCCGTAATGTCGTTCACTTGCGTGTCGTTCTAGTCGTCTTCGTTCGTCATGTTCGTTCAAATGGCTCGAGATTTGTTCGTCTTCACTACTATCATTTCTCATTGCGTCGTTTCGTGTTCGCTGTCGATGTACGTCCGAGTCTGATTCGACTGATTCATATGCTGTACCTAATTTTGACTCTGATTTTGAAGCTATCGTCTGGTCTTTAACACTCGCATCATTTTGTCCTTCGCGTAATCGGGCTAGAATAGAATCTTGCAATTTTGTACAGGGCTCGCGGGTTTTAGCGGTAGGTTTTGCACCTAGAAAATTTAGTGTACTTCAGGCTATATCTTCGTCGTCTTAAGCTTTTAAGTGTTGAAGATGCGATCGACTTGTTGGGTAACAAGCCGGCCATGATCGTGTAAAATGGTTTCATCGTGGATCGATTAGTTTCTGAGATATAACCGGAAATGTAAAAGTGCAAAACCTACCGCTTAATCTCGCGAGACCTGCACATTTGTCTGCTGCGTCTTGTTCGTAGCGTTCAGCTCGCTCTCGTTCGAAGTCGTCATCGGCAATGCGGTCGACGTACTTCCAATTGGCATCCTGTAATTTAATTAACGCATCATCTAACTCTTTCAGAATTGCCCACAGTTCAGCACGTGTGCCATTAATTTCCAGAAGCACTGAAGCTCTACGACTCACCCGATTTAACGTAGCCAGCTCCTGTCCCCGCTTCCGTCTCAAATCCGACAGCGAACGGATTGACGTGGCCATGGCGTTTCTTTAAACTGTGGAGTCTTCTTGGGTATTTGGCCTTTTAAACGCATCGATTTATTGTCTTCTTTATATTTCTTCAAGTAACACAAATGAAATTTACTAGACGTCACAGTCTCAATGGTTTAAAGAAATTGCCCTTACCCACAATAGAAGACTCTTAACAAATAAACCACAAATAAAACAGCTACCTCAATAAACTAATCAAACGCTGATAAATTCAAATTAGCTGCGCCACAAAACAAGCATAATTTTACAATCGCTCCTCGTATTTCGTTCGGCACCTCTCGTATTGCGGTCGCGTCGTTACAATGGGCCTCCTGCAGGGCATATTTTAACAAATTTTTACTGCGTGCCAAAGTTGAGCAGAGGGCACGCGCTACGACTAAGGGCACAGGGCAAGGAAGAGAGTAGGGCACTGAGGAGGGCAGAAAGTAGGGCACGGCAGGTTACAGGGCATGGCACAGGACATTTTAGAGGGAAGGGTACAGGTCAGGGCACACAGCAGGGCACAGGTCAGGGAACCGGACACGGCACAGGGTAGGGACGCAGTGGGCCAAATCAGCAGGGGCTACGTTCCAAGGCGAGGGGGCTGCGTCCCAGAATGGGACGCAGTAAGTGCCTTAAAATATGCCCTGGCCTCCTGACAGGTATGGTTGCGGTTGGTGGCAGGCCGTAGCCAGGCGAAGTCAGCGAGGGGACCGGCCGTGCGCGGCTTTGTGCGCACGTCAAACTTTGGACTCTAAATTCTGCCATAGAATCGGAATTGCGCGATCGGAGGGTAGAGGGCAGGGTCATCGCAACAAGCTTTGCTTAGCGGTGGGTCTGTCCTTGTGAATCCTTCCCATCAAAAGGTTCGGACTAAATTAAAAAAAAATTGTCTATCGATGTATTGGGATGAATAATTAATTTATAACTTATAACAGCAAGATCATAACTATGAAGTGCTTACTATGAAGCGAAAAATCTAGAATGAACGAACTCAGGCAGCTGTACTTTGCTATGCAGATGGTAATGTGCATTACTCAAGTGTCTGGCAAATGAAACTTTGCATTTCTTGAAAAAGGATAAAAAATTGTCAATGTGACAAGCCATGCAACGATATGATCATATGATATGTGTTAATAGTCATTTGTGATAGTGATCTTTGGTCCAATATACAATAGCAAAGCTCTCAGCGCTTCTTTCTGTGGATGGCCAGAAGTGACTCAGGACTTAGAAGCATTAGTTTTCTTCACAGGGCTGGGATAAAATGTACTAGAGGGTAATCTTCCAGCAAGGAACTTTATTTTGAGTTGGTATGAGATGTAGGCACAAGAACTTAGGTGCTTAGTACCTTAGGTTTAGTTCGGTCAGCTTAGATTAGGTTACGCTAGTTTTTATTTTCAAGTGTCAAATAGTCATCAATCCTACATACATATGTCTACTGTTGATCCTTCTATGTACCATCCTACCGGACATGAGCACCAAATAGACCAAGTCTAACCTAGCTCATCAACCTTAACCTTAACCTTTATTTAATTTGCCAAGTGTCCATAAAAAAATGTGACATGACTTACCTAACCTAACCTCAATCATCACACATATTTGCAACCTACCCATAGCAGAAGCACCCAGTTGAGTTTTATTCACGATCGATGGCAACACAAGTCAAATTCCTAAAACCAGACGTTTCGGCCACAGGGTGCCTTCGTCAGTGGACACTAGTGATTAAATTAAAAACACATAGTATCAAAAACAATCGGTATAAATCGTTCGAAGTCGACACATCGGGCACAGGTTTCGAAATGCATTCTTTGGTTCAACATTAAAAACCTAAATTGAGAACGGCATTCATCACGCTATTGTTCTTGTCGCGTTCTTTTGATATGCTGAAAATTAAATTATATGATGAATGTACCTACAGGTCACAATGTCAATGTCGGAACGTTTAAATCGCTCGCCTTTTCTCAGAGTCTTTCAAAGTTCGCCAATCACCTTTCGTTTAGAAATCGTTTACGTTTTGTTTCCTAGTGCCATCATTGCAGCCGTTTCTGCCCAGGTAAAGAATCCAGGTTTTTCGTTCACTGTATCTTGGAAACTGATGTGAGCTGCTTCCAGAGCTTTTCTCATCGATTTTGACATGCCTTTTTCAATGACATGAGCACTGTTCCAATTTGGTAAATTTTGACATTTTCCTATTTGGTAAAATTTGACATCAGTTTCCAAGATACAGTGAACGAAAAACCTGGATTCTTTACCCACTGACACAACCAAGGCCATGTACCCACACAACAGAACCTTCTAAGCAAGGAGACGCTACAACGACCTGCGCCACGGAACGATCATCTGCGCCAGACCGGCCGCGCCATCACGCGGCCGGCGAACGCTGCCGGGGCATTCCACGATAGATCGACCAAAATTTTATCAGATTTACACCCGACCATTTTTGATTTTGATGAAATCTTGTCTACAGGGTTCTCTTATGCCCTGAAGTCAATGGTGACAACGCCAGACCCCTACGGTCAGCGGTTTAGGAGATATAGCCCCGGGCATTTTGACGAGGTCACTCTGCAGAGTGATTTTTGAAGTGCTATATCTCCTAAAGGAATGAAGGAAATGCATTAAACCTTTGCATCGTTGTGATCGTGGTGAAATGGGCAATTAATTGGCCATCTCGGATTTAAAAAAAAAAGATTTTGATTTTTAGCTGTGACGTCATCAATTTTTAAACTTTCTGGCTACCCCCCTAGTACATTAAAATTTGCCATTATTTTTGCTCAGAAATAAAGTTCCGTTAATTTCCTTTCTACTGGGAAAAAACAAAAATGTTAATCTTTCTACAAATATTTTATTTTATTTTTTGAAAATCGCACTACAAACTCTGATTTACAGAATCGGGTTATTAAGCAATATAAGACACATCTGCGAGGACCAGTTACTTCCAAAAAGAGGTTATCTGGGTTTCGGCATATAATATTCTTCTCTTTAACTTCACTTTTGATAACAAAAAAAGAACTTTAATATTACTTGCACAGGAGTCAATATAATGGCAAAATTATACATACTTTTGAGCTGCCACAGCTGCCTTGTTTATCAACGTAGCTCAAATGACCAACCGACAGTCGATTTGCAAAGCATATTTACGAACCGACTAATTATAAACGAACAAAATAATTGGTAGTTTCAGGAAGGCAAAAGGTGGTGTATGGTGGTGTAATGTGACTAGGTATTTCATCAGCGAATCATCATTTTCAACGCTGGATGCAATAAAAGCCATAAACAACGGAGTGCATTTCTATTGCAGTTGCAATAACAGACGGCAAAGCACCAAGACAGGAACGAGATCACGGCCACACAAACACACTTTTTACTTGGAACGTTTCGTCCGAGCATGCATGCTCACGACACGACCCTCATCCGTTGAGAGTTCGTGAACTCTAAGAGATGATACAGTCACAGGTGTAAATCTATGGTAGCGCTGCGTTCCTCTGATTGCAACAGCTTTAGCGAAGCGGGCCTTGAGCATCTGCCTCTTTTCCGCCACTCGGACACTAGGAACGAAAATGAATCGGATAGCTGACCGAAATTGACCAACCAGGTAGCTGTGCAGTGCTTCCACATCCAAAATTTGGTCACTGTAAGGCCGCCTGAGGCTCTCCTGGTACGCTGCTCGCTTAACAGTACCGCCAATGCCATCGCAAGCACCCTTCCCGTGCGAGGTCGCAAAAAAATTCCATTCACACTTCACACCAAAATCCTCCTCATGATGGCAGATATTTACAAAATTGTACCGGTTCTTATACTGGGCTGCACAGCCGTCCGTAAAGTAGTGAACCTTCGTGAGCTGCGGAACAACGCCACGGATCTCTCGAACAACTTCGTCACAAAATACATGCACCATAGCGGGATCATGTTTCCTATCATCCGTGATACAACAAAAGCTCTTATGATGCACTTCGCCCTGGTCCCGCCAGTATGCGACAAAGGGATGTATTGTGCACTGCGAGGTGTCCCAATGGAATCCTTGGGCCTCGTCTTGGACAGTGAAGGAGAAGTTTTCTGAGAAGTCGCCTTGTATGACCACCTCTCCGTCTGGTGCACTGTCCTTGAGCTGCGCGAAATACGCACTCTGAGTATGGGCCCGATAGTGGTGCACTGTCAGCGCTCGTATTTGCCTACATAACAATCTGACACATTCGCCGCGCGTTTCCACTTTCTCGATAAGCGTGCACCTGTCTGTGCTTTCCCACTGCCTGTACCTAACTTCCGCGTCATCGTCGTCATCTTCTTCGTCGCTGTCATCACCGTCGCTCGTCATGGCTTTCAAGAAACCATATATACCCGCCTCACCAGGACACTCCGTGCACTCATTCATCATGCACTGCCGATTGGTTACATCGCACACACAGTGATTCATGAGGTCATGATAGGTCAGTTTGCCGAGGTCTAAGGCGGCGATGAGAAGTTTGGGGTTTTGGTGATAAGTACATACGCACACGGCATGCGTGCCAGCACTTCCTGCCAACACGCAATTTCTTGGGCGAAGCGCAGCAAAACGAGAAAATCCTATCTTTGGGTTGCTTTGATCTTTTTTGTAAAGTTCATAAATTTCCGTGAGACTGCCAAGGACCAATCGTTTCTGCAACTTCTCCTTTGACCCATCCTTTTTACGAACAGTTACATAGTCTTTCTTGCCTGGTAGCATTCTACTTACTTCGTCCGACTCATAAAATTGCCGAACTTTCATCTGATTGTCCTCGCTGATGCGACGGCCTCTACTGTCGGCGCCGATGTCAGGCAGAACGCCGCTGGACTCCCGAAGTTGGCGCGCGCGTTTTACCATGTTCGTGCTGGCGCCGAAGAACTTCGCCGTCTCGTCGATCCGGTACGGCAAGAGCGTCAGAATAGACAGCCGCTTCTTGTAGTCCGTCGTGGACTGATATGTTTCCTTCAACTCCTGCATCAGCTGTCGATACCTGCCGAAATACCAACTTGTTGAAGCGACTGATTAACTTAACCGGCAGTATCCACGCTGCGCACAGATAGCCTTTTTTATGGATCCACGTAGCCTTCTTTAAATCGATTTTAGGTATATATACGAGCATTCGTAGATATCGTTAACAACATACCCCATGGGTGGAAACTGCCTCAAAGCGGAAAAACTTCTGCGTCGTCGATTTCAGATACATTGCCCATATTTTTGCTCCCCGGAAAGAATTGCACATGCACGAACTTACATATACCCAGATCATCCTCATTTGCGGATGTGATCATAGTCAATCGAAATATAAAGGTTATTATTATTTGCAAGTTAAACTCTTTCTGTCGATTCCATGATCAAAAATCGCTAACCAGAACTAAACGTCGCCATAAACGCCTGACTCCATATTTTTCTCACCGGGCTAATTCGTCGTCGTCAGCAGCTTTCCGTCTCTTGGCAGGCGTTCCTTCAGGCGTCGGGATGTCCGTCTGCAAAGCACGCTGAAACTTCCGCTTCAGCGACGTTGACGCCCTTTTTTAGCTTTTCAGACGCAGAACCACGCTTCTGCGGCTCGTTTTTTTCCTTCTGTAAAGGTCGTAATGGAGCCGTTATTTTCTGAGCTTTGCTACACGTGAAAGAAATATGACTTCTTTTCAGCATAGATATCAACTGCCGAAGCTCAACTTCGTCTCAATACAGGTCAGATTTCACACACACACACACACACACACGCACGCACGCACGCACGCACACACGCACACACACACACACACACACACTTGTTTTTTTAGCGCAGGAATGGTGAAACTAGTTACACACGCTGGGAAGAAAAAAGGTAAGAAATTTTTTACTTACTTGTCGTCAGAGGAGATACGCCAAGAAGAGGGAGCACGTCTTCCGTGATTTGTCGGTTGACCTCCACCTCAGAGAGTGATGTGTCTGCCGATGGTGCTGAATGATCTTCATCTTGACTTCCAGAATCACTTTGGGGCTGTGACACCAAACTTTCCTCCACGGGTAAACTTTTTGGTCGTTTTGTCAGCCTGACCTTACAATCTATACACAGGTAGTCGTCTTCCTTTAGCCGCGGATCGTTCACCTGATCGATCAAACTCTTGCTTGCAAGCCGAACCTGTCGGCTTATTTTTCTTTTGTGACGCTTGAATGGGTCAGCACAATAATTCCTGGTCATGGCGCAGTCTTCAGACCGTCTCTGGCACAGCCCTTCACCAGACTGACACGCAAATCGCTTGCGTCTCCGATGATAACGTCTTTGTCTGGCGGAACGTGTGGGCTGTGGACCGACGCGCCGGGGGAGGGGTGTTTGTCACGGAGCGATACCGACCAGGCGGTGTAGTGTTCCCCCATTGTTTGTTCACAGCGGGTGGGTCGCAACTAGGGCACAATTGTATCACAGTAACTCGGACTCAGCTTCAAGGGTTTTCCCCTTGATCGTCTGCACTCATTACTACAAACAAACTACATTGTTTTACGTTATTGTAACGCTCGATCAATTTAAATCATACTTTTGGGAAATACAGAATGTTAAATTAAAATATCTTGCGCTTTGTTCCAGTTGCGAAAAATATTCAAGAAAATATTATTTAGGTGTTTTATAAATCCAGTCCTTCCACTGTCCGTGCCAGCTGCACCTATTTGTCGTTTCAGAGCAAATGTATGCAAATTTCATATTACAGAGTGGTTTTCAAAAAATAAAATAAAATATTTATAGAAAGATAACCATTTTTATTTTTTGACAGTCAAAAGAACATTGACCGATATATATTTCTGAGCAAAAATAATGACAAATTTTAATGTGCTAGGGGGGTAGCCAGAAAATTCAAAAATTGATGACGTCACAGCTAAAAATCAAAATAACTTTTTTTGGAAATCCGAGATAGCCAATAAATTGCTCATTTCACCGCCATCACAACGATGTACAGGTTTAATGCATTTCCTTCATTACTTTAGGAGATATAGCACCTCAAAAATCACTCTGCAGTGACCTCGTCAAAATGCCCGGGGCTATATCTCCTAAACCGCTGACCGTAGGGGCCTGGCGTTGTCACCATTGACTTCAGGGCATAAGAGAACCCTATAGACAAGATTTCATCAAAATCAAAAATGGTCGGGTGTTAGGCCTTGGTCGATCTATCGTGGAATGCCCCTGAAGGCAAAAACGGCTGCAATGATGGCACTAGGAAACAAAACGTAAACGATTTCTAAACGAAAGGTGATTGGCGAACTTTGAAAGACTCTGAGAAAAGGCGAGCGAATTAAACGTTCCGACATTGACATTGTGACCTGTAGGTACATTCATCATATAATTTAATTTTCAGCATATCAAAAGAACGCGACAAGAACAATAGCGTGATGAATGCCGTTCTCAATTTAGGTTTTTAATGTTGAACCAAAGAATGCATTTCGAAACCTGTGCCCGATGTGTCGACTTCGAACGATTTATACCGATTGTTTTTGATACTATGTGTTTTTAATTTAATCACTAGTGTCCACTGACGAAGGCACCCTGTGGCCGAAACGTCTGGTTTTAGGAATTTGACTTGTGTTGCCATCGATCGTGAATAAAACTCAATCATGTCTGATTGTCGTGCATACGACCGGGCACATCTGATGGCGGTGCGTGACCGACTAAGCAACGACACCACTCGTGAAGTAGCCGAGATTATCCGGCGCAGTCTTCCCGCGTATCTCATCCGCCGTCTTAATCGATCACGCCCCCTCAGCCCTGCGGAAGCGGCATGTGGACCCCGCCCCGCATCGAGGACTCTCCAGTCCAGCCGGCCGACCGACCCGCCCAAATTGCTGATCGGCGCCCTAAATATTCAAAGTATCAAACCCAAACTTCAAGAGCTGACCTGCGAACTCGCTGGTCGCAACTACGACGTAATGGTGCTTTCCGAGACCTGGCTACGTCCGTCTACCCCGAAACGCCTCCTGGTCATTCCGGGCCACTCGCTCAGTCGAGTGGACCGCCCAGATGGCTGCGGTTATGGCGGCGTAGCCATCATCACTAAAAACAGTTTGACGTCAATGACACTGAAGATCCCCGGCAGCGGGAGCTCCGAAAGCAAGCTGGAGTCGCAATGGGCGCTGCTGAAGCTGGACAAGGGCCAACAGATAATCATCTGCTCCCTTTATCGGCCACCCCGACACTCTGAGGCTGCCCTGCTCGCCGACTTCACGGACCTCGAGGCCCAGCTGCAGCGGGTCCTCATCGATTACCCCACAGTTCCGTTCGTTCTCTGCGGGGACCTCAACTGTGACCTATTGAAGGGGCCGAGTTTCCGCGCGTCTCAACATCTGATCAGCTTCTTATTGAATTATTCTTTAGATCAACTAGTAACAAATCCAACTTTTACCTCCGGCTCTCTATTGGATGTATGTATTGTTAACAAACGCGAACTTGTGTGTGACACCAGCGTTAATTATTGTCACTTCAGTCCCCATAAAATCATCGACGTGATTGTCAATGTGCCGAAAGTGCGTCAAAAGCCCGCCGTTATCTCATCTCGCTCTTTTAAGCGCCTAGATCACCCTGCACTGTATCACGACTTACTCGATGTCGACTGGGATTATGTTTTCTCTGCCGAAACTGTCAGTGACAAGAAGCATGCTTTCTTGTCGTTCTTCGTACCTGTTTTTGATGCCCATGCCCCAATCAAGCGTGTGTCTATCCGTAACCCGACCGCTCCTCCCCTCTCCGCCGCCACCCGTAACCTCATGTCTCAACGTCGCGCTGCGCTTCGCCATCTAGGCCGCAACTCGAGCGAATACAGAGACCTAAACCGCTCAGTCCGGGCGGCAGTGCGTCGAGACAGGCGAATAGAGATACGGAGGGAAATTGGGGAGCGGGGCCCCAACAAAGTTTGGCAATGCATCAGGTCAGTGGTAGCCGCGAAGAAGGACGGCCCAGACATCCAGCCCGATCTATCTGCCGATGATTTAAATTCATTTTTTTGTATCTGTCGGTCCTCGTGTCGCTGACGAGATCCGAGCCCAAAACACTCCCACCGATTTGGATGTGCGTCTCACCCGTGTCGGCGCATGCAGTTTTCAACTTCGTGAGATAACACTGGGGGAGCTTGAGCGGATTATTTTCAGCATGCGTTACTCGAGTGCCTGCGGCTCCGATAACGTCTGTGTCCGCATGCTGAAATTCGGATTCCCCGCTATTGGTGGTGTCATCCTGCATATTATCAATACCTGCTTAATCCAATCTGACATCCCCGATTCATGGAAACATTCCATATTTCACCCTCTGTTCAAGTCTGGTAACCCTTCAGACCCCGCAAACTTCCGACCCATTCCCCTAGTTGGCCTAGTTCCTCTAATCATGAAAGTAGTTGAACGCATTGTCCATCAGCAGCTCTACGCCTACCTCTCCCATAATCACCTTCTGGCATCCTCCCAGCACGGCTTCCGCCCCCGGCACTCCACGGAAACCGCGTTGCTGTCCGTCACTGAACACATCCTGGCCGCCACTGATAGGGGGGATTTGTCAATGCTATCTATGCCTTCTCGATCTCAGTAAATGTTTCGACGTGATTGACCACGATCTTCTGATGCAAAAACTGATGTTACACGGCATTGAAATTTCCTGGTTCGCCGCCTATCTACATGGACACACTCAGAGCGTGTCTTTGAAAGATGTATCCGGACGTAGAGTGCTGTCTAGGCCTCTTTCTAATGCCATGGGTGTCTTCCAGGGCTCTGCGTTAGGGCCGCTTCTTTTCACCATTTTCTCTAACAACTTATCGCTATACGCGGGCAACGCAAAAGTGTTTCAGTATGCCGATGACACTCAAGTATTGGTTAGCGGTCCAGCTCGGGACCTCGAAGTTCTCATCTCGCGCATGGAGGACTCGCTCGCGTCTCTCAACGACTGGTTTTGCGCTAACGCCCTCAAAGTGAACGCAAGTAAAACACAGCTTATTGTATTTGGCACTCGTCAAAATCTTCGCAAATTACCAGACTTTAGAGTACCATTCCGCAACGCAGCGTTGCAACCGTGCGCACAAGTCGGGAACCTTGGCGTCACTTTTGACAGCACTCTGTCATGGGACGCACACGTCTCTGAACTCTGCCGCCGGTGTACGGGACTGTTGATTGGTCTTTCACACGCGCGCCACTGTCTCCCAGATGGCATCATTCGAACGCTCGTGACGGCACTCGTTGTATCGCGTATCCAGTACTGCCTTTCAGTTTATGGTAATGGGTCCCAAAAAAAATTCGATCGACTCCAAAAAATTCTTAACTTCGCCGCTAGAGTTATTTTCGGCCGCCGTAAATTTGACCATGTCTCCGACCTGCGAACAAAACTCGGGTGGTTGTCCCCGCGCGGTATGTCCGATTTCCACACCCTTGTCATCGCACACAAGGTCATACAGCGCCGAGAACCTGAGCAACTAGCAGCCCTGTTCGTCGCTAATAGCGCTATCCGCGAGAGACCATCCAGGCAAGATCACTTCTTCCATCTTCCCCGTCCGCGGCTGGAAACGGGCAAGCGGCGGTTTGGCTATCGAGCTGCAGCTCTGCTGAACAGCCTGCCACCTCACCTGTCGCAGCTGCCTCCCGCCCGCTTCGCCCGCGCTGTTAAAGCCGCAATCGTGGACGATGAATCAGCACATCGTCGCTGACCAATAGGATAGGGGTGGGTAAAAGCGATAAGGCTGTCCTGAGAGTGTTTTGTCCTTGTTTTGACGTGAGTGAATGTGCAACTGTTTTGTATGATTAGATTAGCAACCGCGGATACAAATTCTGAGCAGTAATCGCCACGCACTTTGTATGTGGATCGCTCTTAAATGTAAATACAATACAATACAATACAATACAATACGATTATTTACAGGCACCCAGCTATATGATAGATACTCACCCTAACTCAATTTTACCTGCTAACAACTTAAAAACAGTTAGCTCGCGTCAAGCCGTTGCCAAGTTAGCTCACCTTTGCCAAGCCGCATCCAGGGAAACAGCCAAATGAGGAACTGGCTCATTGGGTGGCTGGTGTGAGTCTGTGCATTGAAAGTGTTTCTTCTCTGAAGCTGCTCTGCACTGCTGTATTGCCATGTTAGATGCTCAGAAAATGTGGGAAATGATAAGCTACTTTAGTGCTTTGTTCATGCTCCAGACATCAACAAGTACAAATTATGCAGGGTACACCTATGAGCTAGGTGAGTATTTTATGTGAATGTGATGTTTGACTGTAGTAAATACACAAACAAACACAGGGTCACAGTTATATTCAATCTCCACATAAACACAACAAAAACGCCCATAGCCTCACTCCGCGAGCAAACCACAAATAACGCAAGCCTTTGCAGGCACCAAAATGCTTTGATTTACAGGATAGGTACCTATACTTTATATATCCTCTATCCTTGGGGATCTTGCTGCTAAGTTGATGTAAGATGACTGAACTTCAGTATTTATCAACCTTTTCTTCTTAGCCACTACTTATATACGAGAATGACTAAATGCTTGGTTTGGTTGATTAAAGGGACTATCCCACCTTTAACA